TGATATTCTTTATTTCAAAGATGTCAAGCCAAAATTCCCGGATGCACGCAGCTGGTCCTGAACTTAAAGGCAAAAAAAACGCAGGTGCTGACTGGAGATACGCAGCCTAACTACCGAAGGGTCTGGCATAGTTGCGCCCGACGTGCGAAAGTATACCAGAAATGGCTTCATTAAAATGGGATATCCACACTGATTGCTCAGACGATCTTGGCAAAGGAGCAGCAAAATTGTAACTTCAGAGTGATATCACATATAAAGATCGAGAATACTTTTAAACAGCATAGTGACCAGCTAAAGACCGATTTGAAAGCATCCTTGGTATGATAGAAAAAGGTGCAAGTTATCTGAATAAAATTTGACGCAGGTATTATTAGCAATAGGAAATAAAGGCATTTTGCGGTAATTTTGAGCGCACCCCCACCCTCGCCCCTCTCCCGCTATTCCTTACGTCTAGCTTCCAAAATTCATGTCCAAGAGGCAGGAAAAAAAACACAAAAATATTGACGCAGAGGAGAAACCAACGAAATACGAACCGGAATGACTTTGCTGTGTGAAATCCACAATAAATACCTCCTCATCGTTCAAACTGTCGATGATACCTGAAAGTATCGCAAAGAAGAATATGCCTAGGGTTAAGCATATTATTTTCAGATTATAAATGCATAAATGAGAATCATAACGAGTCAGGATAAAGTTTCATTTTCACAGTACATCCTCAGAACAAACGGAAAGTCAAATATATTGCGAAAAAAAAGCGAAAGCAATCCTGAATATATCAGCTCATTTTTCCGACATTTTTCCAGATCTCGCTTTTTCCGTGATTTACAAAAGTTGGTTTTTAACCACCGGGAATACCGAGATTTCTCGCATAAACGATGTGGATATCATATGTTAGCCACACCATTAGAATGTTCCTGCATGCCAGACCCCGTTGTACAAGACTCTTCGATACTAAGCTGCACTTTTCTAGATGGCAACCACCACCTGTTCGATGTATGTGTGCATTGTCTCTTCGCAAGCCATCCAAGTTTACTTGCTCGCAAATACCACTCAGTAATGATAAGTGACGACCATCAGCTGTCAACGAAACGAGCAGAATGCCCCTGCCAGGATCAGGTCATTTGAAGGCCAGCTTATATAACTTCTTTTTTCCAGATCTAAGTTTCACTGCATTTGAAGGCTTCATCTGAACAGAAAATTTAGCGCTTAATCTAGCATATACACGACATATATAAATATTCTTTGCGCTGCTGCCATGGCCTAATCTATTCCTCATAGCTAAATGCTTTCCTTTTTAACGATTATTACTCATTGATTACGGCTCAGATCAGCCTTTTCCAGCCTAGGTACCACGTAGCATTCCTAATCGCTTGCATGTTGTTTCCACACCGCAGCACAGAGACTGGGGAGATAGTGGGTTTGTGATTTGAATTGATAACTGTTTTACAAGCAGCAACAAACCCAACTCGGTTTTGTTTTATTAGACAGCTAACCTGGAACAGCCAGCCTAATATTTTCGGCCGTTTGCATTGCCGCTCCTAAAATTGATTAGCTCAGATTTGCAATGTTTTTAAAATGTGATTATGCCGAGAATAGAGACAGGTGCCCTAGTTACTTGTAAGAAGACAGCAAAAATGGGAAAAATTTATTTTACCTGTGGTAACAAGAACTCAACACTGAAGAATGTCCATGAAAGTCAAAGTCAATACCCCCTCCCCCGTGCTACTTCTTTGTGGGGAATACAGAAGTATTCCAAAAATAGTAAATGCCATCTCGTACCTGCAGCCTTAAATGCCTTAATTTCTAGAAATTAAACGTGAGTTTCTAGCAGTAAAATCAGAGCTTAAAAATTATGAAAAAATATCCTTTAAAATTTTTCAGCACTGAAGAAATTACCTGCAGCGCTAGTCAGCGCACCACCAACAGTTCCTGCACCTTTTACGACTGTTCCCGTAACGGCTTCTGCAAATTTCACCGTTCAAAAAAGTTTCGGCAAATTTCTCGCCTCAAATTAATACTAAAAAGATTTTGAATTAATCGAACCGCTTGTCTTGTGCGCGACATTCCCTGCATCTTTTATTGCTGTGCTTGCAGCTGCACCTAAAAAGTATAGGCTTCGATGAATACGATAATGTCTGCTTTTCAATAAGAGTTAGATAGGAAGATAGCTGGTTACCATGAACGATAAATCAGAAGAAAAACAAGCCAGTGTAAGTATCCTATGTTAGTAGCTTCATCTGAGTGCTCTCATACACCAGGCGCCAGATCCTATGCCAGATCCTTAGACCTCAATCCTTAGACCTCAAAGTTATTTATAATTATTAAATGTCTATTAAAGTTGATTGAGAAAAAGCTTCTTTATAAAAATATTTTACTCCTCAAAAAAAAAAGATTACCGGTGTTTTGGATAATCCAAAAAAAACAAAGCTTCGTGGCTTAAAATATTTACAAGAAAAAGTACTAGTGCGTACTAGGAAGCTGGCATAGTTATGTGTATTTGTACTACTAGTTATTTCCGTGTAGTAACTGATTTAGCGCATGCAAATACCAAAACTTCGTACTTATGGCCTGCCTGGCTCTGGGGCTTACATACGCACATGCAGGCAAAAATTGTGAGACAGTAAGATTATATCAGCTATGAAAACTGATTTCTAGCTGTTCAGTCCGCCTAAAAATACCCATAAGGAAAATAAGCGACCGCTCGGACCATCCCACAAAAGGGGCACACATACACAGAACAAATGATGGATACTAACTGGAGGAATGCAATCTCAAAAGCCGAGCATAGCTGCACCCGGCGAGTGAGAGCAAGCATCCTGGCAAAAATCACTAACAGGAGATGCACACAGCGGAAGCCAGAACACGGTCTTGGTATTCTTGGTTTAAAGCTAACTAGAGACCTAAAAGCAAAATAAGTTGATTCCATACAGATGCCTGCTCAGCGAAAATTCAAATCGTTAGCCTACCCTACTCAAAAATTGAAAACATTTCGGAGTCAGGTTTCGTATAATATAAATCCTAGTATGAGCAAGACCCACAATTCAAGAATCATCAAAAATTCGCGTACCTGTAGTAGCAGCTACTTTGTGAGCAACATTCCC